TCTATCATATTATGTAAAAATTTGGGTTTTCTAGCAAAAATGGTCATGACTAGGTTATAGTACCAGTTTTGTGAGATTTGACCTAAAATATGTTGTTTTAAACATACCATTTTTGTGAGATTTGACCTAAAATATGTTGTTTTAAACATACAAGTTTAGCCTATATTGATTCCTTGAGTTTACAGGAGTTTACACATCAGATGTTTTTAACCCTTATAAAATAAAAGCTTTTGTCACACCTCCGGTCGCGGTGGCGGAACACGTCGTGCTGTGCGACTAAGTTCATGGATTACAAGTAAACTGAATATATAGCACAAGTAGAACAATAAACGAAATAACATTCGTGTGACAACCCAAAATTTTCCATCCAGTACAGTCAAACACTTTATTAAAAGTCAAACTCATTTCTGCTATCTTTTAGCACAATTAGGAGTATATTTGAGCGTTCAGAGCCTTGTACACTTAAGGAATAAGTATTGGGGTTTATCGACTGAAATTATAGCTCAAGGAAATGACCTTAAACACCCCTGAAAGGAGTTCACGGCCAACACATGGGAGATTACAGCCGTAAACTCCATGTGGGTCGTAAACTCTTGCTTATATGGTGAAAGGTGGTCATTTGTTCATTCCTCCCTTCCATTTGGCCCAAATCCTCTCAAGTATCATCCCGATCTTCATCCCTGATCTTCAAAACTCGTAAGCTTACATGATTTCATCCGTGAAATCATTCCAATTTGTAGATCTTCAAGTTTCACCAAGAACACACACACTAGTGTTCTTGGCCAAAACCGACCATTCAAGCTCCTAGATTGTAAGTACACTTGATCCAGATCATAGTACACAAGGTTTATCATATTTAGAGCTTAGAAAACATAAGAAATCATGGGATTCAAGGAGTTTATGGCCAAGACATGTTCTTGGGCCGTAAAACCCTTTCAAGGGTGCAAATGACACCCTAACACCTTAGTAAGCCTTGGTTAGTGACATAGAACCTTACACCATTGACCTAAGGACCACAATTCAAGAAATGGTACTTCTTACCATGAGTTTACGGCCATAAACTCATGGGGAAGTGTTCCCAGGACCGTTAACACCATACAATGTCATTTTAGGACCTTAAACCCACCCAAACGCTTGTTTAAAGCTTTGGATCACTTAACCACTTAAGCCCTTGGAGTTTTAAGCCCCTTTTGGTGACCAATTGAGAGTTTACAGCCAGGAGTAAACTCCCATGGGCCGTAAACTCCAACAAACATGGTCATTGGACCATAAACTCCCGTATGAGGCCTTGCACTCCTTGTTGCAAGCTGATAGCCTACTAGCACTTGACCAAAGTGTTTTCCTCGCAATAGGATGTTTTTACATGTTTAATTAGTGTTATAATCACTAATTGTTTATATACATATGTTTTCATATGTAATTAAGATAATTGTGTGTTTCTAAGTCTTCACTTGACACCAAGCACTTGTCCGACACTTCCTTCCGATCCGCTCACTGCATGTGAGTTCATACTCCTTAATTAACCTTTTAAATGTTTTTAAATGTTTATAAATGCTTTATGGGGGGATAAAAGTTAAATCATGTTTAGGTATTATATCAATCACATGTGATTAATAACTAGCATGCAAATGGATTTACTATACGTTAACTGTTTTACCAAATAGATTTCTTCAAATGACTTTCTTAAACGTTTTTATATGTTTAAAACTCTTTATCAAACTGCTTTATACATTGTATGTTTCTTTTCAACATCTGTTACAAATGTATTTCAAACAAAGGTTTTCGTTATACTTAAACTGTTTATTCAAACAAAATACTTTCAAACCGTTTTATAAACTGTCATCAAGTCGATCTTTTCTTAAGATAGAAATATTTTTCAAAGGTTTTACAAAACTCCTTTTATGCTTTTATATTATCAAATGCATGCCCATATATGTATAGTTATATAAATAATGTTTAAAGGACTTAGGAAGGCTAACTCACTCTATTTCCTTTTCCTCGTTGGGATGTGGATATGGGGTATCGGTTACCCGTCCGAATGTCGTCTAAATATTAGTTATATATCATATATACATATGTAGACATAAAAGTTTTCCTCAGTCAGTTCAGTACCTTTGGCTAGCAAAGGTATACCTTCGTTGATACTTGTACATTACTAGTAACTATTATAGGTATAGTTAGGAGATACTACTTGCTATTCCTATTACAAGGAATTACACCAGAGTCAGTTCATACATGAGTCTATACTAAATGCTAAATGAAGAGATACACTTATGTGGATACACTTACTTGGATATACTTACATAGATACCTTGTTAAAAGCATGCATGTATATGTATAGTTATATAAGTAATGTTTAAAGGACTTAGGAAGGCTAACCTGCTTTATTTCCTTTTCCTCATTGGGATGTGGTCTGGTAGGGTATCGGGTATCTGTCCGAAGGTCGTTTAAGTCTTTAGTTATATATCATGTGTACATATACGGACATAATAGTTCTGATCAGTTAGTACCTTTGGGTAGCAAAGGTATACGTTCATATATCCCTAGTAAACTATTATAGGTGTAGTTTGGGCTTATATATGAATTGGTAATAAATATGGATTTCGACCTAGCAATTCGTTGCGGAAGTCACCTTGAGTTCCAAATGTAGAATAGGGACTACCAATCATATTATTACTTACTTACAGCGGGTCTCGTGAGAAGACTACTTATTTACTAGATGGGACTAACCATTCCGGCACCCAACTGTTAGCAACAGAGGTAATGAACATCTACGGATACCTACGGTTAATACTTATACTAGGGTCCCTTTACGGGACTAACCATTCCTACAACCTGCTGTGAGCTACAAAGGATAATGATCATCTATGGACGTTCAAGGTTAATACTATTCGGCAGTCGCGATGTCAGGTTTATCCTAATACAAAAGGATAATACTTACATGTCTATATTTTTCCCTATTACTTTTATTTTGCGATACATACACATAAACGATGAGGTAGACTATATATATATATATATATTGTTAATAGTATTCATACAAGGGAAAAACCATCTTTGTTACTTTCAAAACAGTCTAGTCTTGGTAGAAGACTACTCTTTATACTAATAGAAATCATAGGGATTTGCTAGGGTGTTCAAACGTTTTCAACTACTTTCAAACAGTTCATACTTATACAAACTTTTTTCCAAATGTTCACAAGTCTTTACTTTCCAGTTCTACAAATCAAAGACACATTAATACTTATGAATTCACCAGCTTTATTGCTGATACTCGCTTTTAAAATACTTGTATTCTCAGGTCACAAATAGACAGGTACGACGACCAGGTTTTGTGAAGACGGAGAAATCAAGACTCCTATTTTATTTTGATTGTTCATTATGTTGTCTTATACTATGAAAGAACACACTTGTAATTAAAATTATACTATTAATGCAATGGATGATGTTGTACTTGTTTACTACTTTGCATTGTTGTGATACATTACATGACGTCCTCCGCCCCAGAACGTTTCCGCCGTTCTCGGTTTTGGGGTGTGACAATTCGTGTTCCATATTGATATTTGAATACAAGTTTTTTTTACAGATAATAATAGTACATGAATTGCCTTAACAAATAAACATATAATACAACATCAAGTAAACTAGATCACCTGTAATCCAATCCGTCTTGAATGTCTGCTTAGTGATTTCCTGAGAATACATGTAATTTTGAGGGTCAACACAAGGTTGGTGAGAGTTACAAGTTTTCTGATCACAGCAGTAATACTTTTAAAAAGTCTAAAAAGTATTAAGTCTAAAAAGTATTATCTTTTTATGTATAACAATATTTAAAATTGTGTTTGCAAAGAGTCTTTTAAAAGCCAAAATGTATCTTTGTATAAGTAAGTCTATACTTAAAACTGTGTTTTTAAGAACCTTGAATATACTTGAAAACCAAACTGTACTGTTAGATAAGTAATTTCAGACTTAAAATAGTTTTGAAATCAACAAAACCCATGGTTTGTAGTGAGAGAGAGAAATACCAGTTAACGTTTATAGTGAGTCCTATAATCGAGCTGTGACTGAATGTATCCCCCTACAACGCTTCATTGGACGTTGTAGTCACAATTGTAGCTACTTATCATCCGCTTCGATTGATCGATCGAGGTTGTAGCTAGAAACCATAGGTGGGGATGTTAACACCGTATAAATCTATACATATGTATCTCACTCCGAAGATTAGTGGTTATAGTAGTGTGTGTATGTTATGTGTCTAGACTCAACTAATGAATATAGTATCACTAAAAATCCCTTAACTAAAGTATGTTAATAACTCTCAACCTTAACTTAATTGTGATTAAGTCACTAGGCATAATGAATTTCAGAGTATACAGTTTATAAAAGTCGAGTATGCTTAGTATGTAGGTAAAAGTGTTATGTACTCGCTTGTATAAATATGTATGTTTCAAAGTAATGAACATATGTACATGTTAAACGTTATGTATTTAAACATATAAATATACATATATAGTAATAGCATGAATCCTTGAAATACTACAAAGTTTTATGACATATTTTTTATGATATGCAATGTCACATAAAAATCATATATTGTTGTGTGGACAAGTTATTTCACGATAAAATAACCATAATACGTATATGAGAAGTTTATACTAGTTTATTTATAACAATATGTTAAATTGTTAAATAACATTTTTATAAACTATATTATTATATTTTCGCATAGAGGATAATATATTTGTATAAACAAAGTATATAGACACATGTATTTAAAGTTTGAAGATCGAGATTTATTTTGTTAAAAATAACCAAGTGAGGGGTTGTTTTGTTTAAAATACACCAAGGTTTTGGGGAAAGGGTTTATTTTAAAAAGAATATTGCAGCAGGGGGTCCTTTGGTTATTTTATCGAAGTTGAAAGAATTCTAGTGTTTTTATTTGCCCTTGTCGCTGATCGATCGGGTAATGGGAAAACAATAGGAATGAACGAAACAGATGGATGAAGACTGTGAGAAGGAAAGCACGAAGCGGTGGCGCTGCATTCGGGCCCTTGCTCGTTTCAGGTCACGATGAGGACCGAAGGAAGAAAAAGGTCGCAGGCGGCGAGGTCTCTTTCGATCGACCGAAAGAAGAAAAAGGTCGCAGGCGGCGAGGTCTCTTTCGATCGATCGCGAAGAGGGATCTTCTCCGGGGTTCAACGAGGCCAAAGGGGAGGAAGGGAGAAGCAGCGAAGCTGCGCTCTTCTCATCCGGCTACGAGGTGCGAAGTCCGGGCGTCGCAAGCAGCAATAGCATCGAAGACGAGACCCTCGGAGGTCTGTGGTCAATGGGAACATAAGAGAAAGAAAGCGAGGGGAAAGTGGTCTCTGGTCTTTGGCCGCTTGCGAAGGGGAAATGAAGGCAGAACCGAAAAGAAGTCTTTGATGGGGCAAGGTAAGAAGTGACTTGCTTCATTTTTTTTGTGATTTGGCATCCAACCCAAAGGATGATGATGCAGGTAGAAAAGTCGATCAAAGGGGGGGTGTTTGTTTGATTTCTTTTAACAGGAAAGGATAGAGGGAAGAGGGAGAGGCTGTTACTGTCGTTGATCAAGGGAGCACCATTTGTGCTCTTGCTGTTGAGGAAAGAAGAAAGACGAAGAAGAAGGTGGAGGTTTCTTTGCTTGTAGTGAATAAGGAGGAGGAGGGAAGAAGAACCGAAATTAGGTGGATGTTTGGGTTTGATTTTTTTCCGACAGAAAAAAATGAAGAGCGAATGATGGTGATCTTTCTGCTTGCAATCGGTGTGAAGAAGAAGAAAACGAGGCTGGTACTATGAATACTCTGATTATTGTTTAGTGAAACCTGCGGTTTTTCCTTTGGCAGATGAACACTCCATATCTTTATAAATTAATTTATTGGTAAGAAGTGTAAGAGCATCCACAGCAGTAGATTATACTCCTTTCAATTAGGCTTGCAAATGAGGCAGTAGATTATACTCCTTTCAACTAGGCTTGCGAATGAGGTGGAGATGCCACATATGTTCTCACATTGCAAATATAGAAAGGCTTGCAACTTATTATTTATGAATATTTTAATATTAACTACACAACCTATATTTACATACTTAAATATTAATATTAAACTAGTGTAGCTACCCATGCTTTTCATGGGTGAGTATATTCAATTATTTGCATGGGAAGTATGTTTACATTACTTAATTGGTTTGTGTCCTGTTTCTATAAGTATTCTAAGTTTCATAATATTAAATAGTGCTAGTGCATCAAAAGCGTGTGGAAGTAAATGATTGACGATTGAACATTGAAAAAAATGGTTAACCATATGGAAAGTATTAAAAAAAATATGAGTGAGCATGTGTTCTTATGCCTCGTCTTGTATGGCTTCACATGCAACATTGGTGACGGTGGATTTTGTTAAAAGAAAATATGAAATCTGCAAGGAATAGCAAGGTACTTTTAGCCATGTAGTACAAAAATCTAATAGAGTTGTTTAAGCTTTAATACATTTGTTCCTACTGTTATCAATATGTTAATAACCTAAAATGTGGATAAGTGTGAGGCAAATTTCATTTTTCATCGGTGTGGCCATTAAGGTAGGTCGAGTGAAGCGGTGTCTCCCACAGTTTACATAATAGCAATGTACTTTTCTTTTGACTTTGTAATGAACATTGGAAGAACGAAATGCCACAACCTAAAAAAACAAATGATGTGAAATTAAACATCCAATTTAAATAAGAAAATAAATAAATTGTGAACATGTTTTCCCATTTAAGGAGATATGACTGCATAAAGCTTTGATTGTTCCACAATTTTTATACAAAAGATCCCTATATCCACCAATAATTCTCATCACAAAAAGAACTCCAGTCTTCCAAAACAATTCAGTATTATCTGCACAACATATTAACATAATAACATAAGATGTTGGATTCAATAAAAACTAATATGATATCTCTGTATATCATAAAATTACGTATTTACCATTTACAACATCAGGTGCACAGTAAAGTCTACAATGATCAGATAAGGATGTTGAAGTAAAGATGCTAAAGTGGTTTCTCTTTCAGAAGGACCATGAAAATTGTCTTACTAACATCTTGTTGAATCCTAACTCATCTTCCCCGTACAACTACTGACCTAAAATAATAAGGAATTAGATAAAGATTTTCTTTTTAATATTTAAATGGAAATAGGAGTGAAAAAGGAAGCGTTAGAGTTGAATTTGTAAGAATCAATACCTGTAAAATGGTATTTTTATTTCTTTTGCATCCAATACAAACTCCATAAGGAAACAATTGATTTGATTGGAAATTTGAGTCGGCTTATATAGTTAAATCATAAATGAGTGATGACCTTTGTTGCAGGTTTTGGTTCAGGGAAAGTTCAACTTCAAGTTAAGACCGTTCTGCTGAACCTCATAAGAACTTTCTTCTATTATGCAGAAGAACATTAGAAAAATGTTAATGTGCAATACCTTGAAAGAAATTCTAGTATATGTACAAGAGTCAAATCAAGGTGTTGGCGGATGAATCACATAAGCGTATAATAATAGATTAAATTAGGATCAATGGAAGAGTGTCCTGCAATACAACAAACCTGATCTGATGGGTAGAAATTTGGCAATTGGCAAATTAGGCGGTGTCCAGCTGTGGATTTGAAGAACCCCCGGACATCGTATGAAATCGGTGGCCAAAAATAAGATGTGGATAACCTAAGTCTTAATTTGTTTGACTGTAAATTATTTGGAAAAAGTGTGTGTGATGCTCCATATCTTTATAAATTACGTTATTGGTAAGAAGTGTAAGTCTAAATTTGTTTGGCTGTAAATTGTTTGGAAAAGCTGTGTGTGATGCTCCATATCTTTATAAATTAATTTATTGGTAAGAAGCGTAAGTCTTAATTTGTTTGGCTGTAAATTGTTTGGAAAAAAGTGTGTATGATAAGGGTGTTTGAAGTTAATCAAAAGTCAGAGGACTCTTTAGCATAGGGTGATTCTTGTCAATCATTATGTATTTTGTATAATGTATTGGTTTCATTATGAATGTAATGTGTGTGTAATGATATATATTTTTAATGGATTTTATGTACACTTTTAGATTTGATAATATTGTGTGTGTATTTGTTTGAGATATTTTAAGGCAGTAATACATACACAATATTTATAAGGGAATAAGATTTGTTAAGGTAATTAACTTTTTGGGTTTTTCACATATAGGTAACTATCTTTTTTTTGTACACATCTAGGTAACAAACTTTTTAGAACTGTTCACATATGACCATTATGACCTGCTGTAGCAGGTTACATCCAACTACAGCAGGTCATAATGGTTATATGTGAATAGTTTCATCAAGTTCGTTACCTAGATGTGTACAAAAAAAAATAGTAACCTAAATATGAACAAAACCAAAACTAAGAGTAAATTACATGAATGGTCCCTATGGTATAGGGGAATTTGTGCATTTGGTCCCTAACTTATTCTTTTTAACTCGGATGGTCTCTACTGTTTATTTTTGTTGCGCGCTTAGTCCCTGTCTTACCTTAAAAGACTATTATGCCCTTATTAATTTATTTTTTTAATTAATTTTCTTATTTATGTTTTTTTATATGTTTAAAAAAATTAATAGACCCTACATATTTGTATCTCCTCACCGTAAATCTGAAACCACATTTGAGAAATTTAATTTGGGTCCTACAAGTCACCATCACATCTCACATCCTCTTCAACCTCTATTTACTTTCAATCTTTAGTGACATGGCAGTCTTCACCATCCTTTTTTTGGTCCTTCAACTCTGGCGAACAAACACCATAACCCACGGTCTCTTCACTTTATTGGGTTGTGGTGTTGGTTCGCTGAAGTTGAAGGACCGAAAAAGAATAGATGGTGAAGACTTCATTGTCATTAAATATGGAAAAAAAATAAAAGTTTAGGATGATGAAAGATAGGATGGTGAGGAGATACAGATATGTGAGGTCTATTAGTTTTTTTTAAACATATAAAAAAAATACATAAATAAGGAAATTAATTTAAAAAAATTAAATTAATAAGGACACACTAGTCTTTTTAGGCAAGACATGGACCAAACGCAACAAAACAAAACAGTAGGGACCATCCGAATTAAAAAAATAATTTAGGGACCAAACACATAAATTCCCCCAAACCACATGGACCATTCGTGTAATTTACTCTTACTTTTGGTTTTGTTCATATTTTGGTAATTATTTTTCTTTTGTACACATCTAAGTAACGAACTTGTTGAAAGTGTTCACATGTAACCATTATGACCTACTGTAGCCGGAGGTAACCTGCTACAGCAGGTCATAATGGTCATATGTGAACAGTTTCAAAAAATTTGTTACCTAGATGTGTAAAAAAAAGATAGTTACCTACATGTGAACAAACCGAAAAGTTAATTACCTTAATTAGTCTTATTCCCTATTTATAAACTCTCATATTAAAAGTTTATTATGTATGTTTGTGAGATATATAAAAGATTCAAGATTTGTACATAATCAGTGTTCAATTTGTCGCATATATTGTTAATTGGTATTTGAAAATGATACACGACATATATAAATATTTATATATTTAGTGTTGTTATATAATTTTAAATAGGGTTTAGGTCATTTTTGGTCATTTAACTTTTGGTTTTGTGCTCATTTGGTCACTTAACTATTTTTAAGTTTTAAAAGGTCATCAAACTTTTCGCTTTGTGCTCATTTAGTCACTTAACTTTTGGTTTGGTCACATTTAGTCACCTAACTTTTAAAATTGTGCTCATTTAGTCACTAAACTTTTAATTTTTTTCAAAAGTTTAGTGACTAAATAAGCACAATTTTAAAAGTTAGGTGACTAAATGAGCACTAATTTAAAAGTTAAGTGACCAAACCAAAAGTTAAGTGACTAAATTGACACAGAATCAAAAGTTTGATGACCTTTTAAAATATAAAAAGAGTTAAGTGACCAAACGAGTACAAAACCAAAAGTTAAGTGACCAAAAATAACCTAAACCCTTTTAATTATCTAACATATATACATTGTGATTACACGATTGCCTATTTATCATATGCAATATGGGTTTACAAAAATTATAGCAAATATATAATAGATTTTTGAAAAATACGTTCGCCACACATATATGTATAAGATGTATATGATTATAGAAATTCCGAGTAATCTCTTCGTTAAGATTCACAATAATTGGATTCAATAATAATATATTATTTCCAGAATATATTGCCAATAATTGAAATCATATCGAAATCAATAGTTTAAAGTTTCGTGATTTACTGATTCAAAACGTCTAATGTTTCGACTTCTATAAATATTTTTACAAAAAATATTCGAAGTATGAAATTAAATAATAGACTATGATCTGAGCCAAAAAAATGTTTTTGGAGTTTCCATTTGGGATGTGCAATTCCCTCAACGGATAGAAACAATTTTAGCAGTTTTAAAAAATTAGTATTATACTAGTTTTGCATTCTTAAAATGGTCATATATGTACATCTTGTTTTAAGGTACTTTCAGTTTTGACCCTTATATTGAGATTTATTACATTTTGGTCCTTAAAATGTAAGATTTGTGGCTGGGAGGGGCTATAGTGTCATTCTTGGATTTGTGGGGCAAAGCCACGTATGTTGGGCGTTGGTGCCTTCGACCCATGAGTACAGTGAGTACAATGAGGAAGACTCACCTCTCAATCTGAACAATAGTTGATGAGGTCCTGACTCCTAATCTTAGCTCTAATCGTCACATACCCATCCAAATGACCAATTCTCAAACACAATACAAAATACCCAAAATAACCATAAGTCAAACTTGGCCAAAACCAGGTAAAAGTCAAAA